TATAAATCTAATTACTCTTCATTGTACAATTTATATTTCATCACTCTAACTCTTGGATTTGATATTATTTAACTATATCATTTCCGCATTAGGAAAAGATATCTCTTCTCTTATATATTTTGAAAACTATAAAATATAAGAAATAATACATTATGTATTGATTCTCAAAATTTATTATTGGAAAGAAATCAAGAAAATATTTCTCTGACTACAAAAATTGTACTAAATCTTTCCTTATGCCTAGGTGGTTCCACGGGGAGGAATGCTCTGTTCATTCCAGAAGTAATTCTCTGGATCAACTGCAGTCTTTACATCCACTAATCTCTCAAAGTTGTCGTTGAAATACTTCACTCCATAAACTTTGCCCTCTTCATAACTGCCATTTTTATTAATACCATTGTCAATATCCCGGTATGGGAAAAATGCGCTTCTCGGATTTTTGGACACAAAGCCAGTCATATAACTGTGAAGCCTGTTCAACATGTTTATGCTGTTCTTGGCTACTTCTTCGCTGGAGTTGGTCCAACTGGTAGAGTACTGAATTTTAAACAAGTTCCCAGCTCTATGGGGCATTGGAGTATCTGTAGCTTTAATTTCAGCCATTCTGCCTCCATAAGGATTGAAAACCAAACCGGGTCTTCCCAATTCAATCATCCTTTTCCACAGCCATTCCAATCCATCTTTAGAAATTGGTTTCTGCACGTAATCTGACTTTCTTTTTAAGAAATCTGCATTGTCTGGATCTCTATTGAGCAGTGCATCAGGTGATGTTCCATTTTCAAAATTATTCCACCAAAGAACCGATTGAATCCAACCCATCTCCGTACAATTCTCTTTCTTCAAGCCCAATTCAGGCAAATCTTTCTCCAACAATTTCACTAGACTATCAGCATTCCCTAAGTACATTGCGACAATCGTGATTTTGATTGTCAGCTCATTGTTTCTCCTACTTGGCTGGACAAGCATCCGCATAAACAGATTAGGATCTGTTGTCGGAGCCACAGTTTGCCACCGGAAGACAAGATCAGTAGCCTTCTCAGCCAAAAATCTTTCGGCTCTAAACACAGTAACCGTTTCTGGGACCGGAACAAGCTTGACCTTGTAAGAAAGGACCACACCAAAACTCGCTCCTCCACCACCTCTAATTGCCCAGAAAAGATCTTCCCCCATGCCGTTCCTGTCAAGAATCCTACCCTTAACATCAACAATTTTAGCATCCACCACATTGTCAACCGTCAGACCATACTTCCGAATCATATTTCCATAACCGCCACCACTTATGTGTCCGCCAACCCCGACGGTTGGACAAACACCTCCAGGAAATCCATGGACTTTGCTCTTCTGTGAAATACTGTAAAAAAGTTCCCCAAGAGTTGCGCCGGCCCCAACCCAGGCTGTTTCCTCTTTCATGTCAATAGAAATTGACCGAAGATTGAACATGTCAAGGATGAAGAAGGGGCGATCTGAGATGTAAGATAGGCCCTCATAATCGTGACCACCGCTTCGGATTTTAAGCTGAAAACCGACATTCTTGGAACAAATTACGGCTGCTGAAACATGCGATTCCTGTTCAGGGGTGATGATGATTACAGGTTTCGGTGTGGAAGAGGAATTGAAACGAGCGTTACGGATGTAGGCTCGTAAAACAGAGGTGTACGAAGAATTGGAATTAGCCAAAACTATTTTTGACACATCGTCTGATGGTTTGGATTGATTTGTGAGGCATTGGAGGAAGGATTCATAGACTGAATCGGAGGCCGCCCTTGAGGAAGAAAAGTTGAAGAGGACGAGGAAAAGAACAAGGGGCAACATGGCTGTCTGTCCTAGGTCGTATTTTGAATTTGTCTGAACCCTCAAGTATTGCCATACATCTGTTATATATTTTTCAAATTCAATGCCTGGAAAATCTCTGTATTTCATGCTAAAAGTCACGATTCACACGGATTACTCCTCTCTTTGGCAATCTATTCATGGCTTACTGTGGCCCGCCAAACAAAAACTAATGACTTCAGAAAATTCAAAGTAATATTTGTGGAATTAAACAACTGAAAA